AAAGGACTAGATAATGGCATGTGTCACATTGCAAACAGTAGATAATGTGAATTTCGCAACTGGTTTGCAAGGATGATATGCGCCGAAGCGAACTTGATTAACATTTCTGATTTATGACTTCTACCAAGTACAATGTGGGTTACATTCAAACTTCAATGTGGGTTACATTCAAACTTACTTTTTCAAACCGATTTCCAATAACACTTCTATCTAACCCCATCACATAAACTAGTCATCTGACGTGCAAAAGCTAAATACTCAAGCTATTGACAAGCACTTGACGAAGAGAAGCAAAACCATTCACCACCTAGAGGGACTTCATCTCCCTGCTCACACAAAACCTAACAACAAAACATTGAAGAAATTGTCTTCAAGCTTCGGTTGCTGAAGTCGACATATCTTCTAGTGAAAAACACAGTTTTTGTTCAGTGAAGGAATATCCCTTTCCAATGACTTCATTTTCAAGCTTTACAGTCATATTTACATTATGGAAAACGGCATTAGAAATTGCTCAGTGGTCAATAATGCACATATGATAAGAAAAAAGATAATTAAAATGATGTACTAAGGTGGGTAGAATTGAAATGGATGAACTACAAAACTTTTGAAAATTATACAGTAAGTGAACTGGTGTAGAGATCTTAAAATTGTAGGTAAGGTGTTTTCTGAAAAATTAAGAGTACGATGATGATCTAAAATTTTAAAATCTTTATACCAGTTCACTTATTTAATAATTTTTAAAAGTTTTGTAATTCACCCACCTCAACTCTACCTACTTAGTACATCATTTCAATTATATTTATTCTTCTCATATGTGTAATATTGACTGAGCGATTTCTAGTGCTACTGAATATCGTTTTCCTTAATGTAAATATGACTGTACAGCTTGAAAATGAAGTCGTTGAAAGGGATGTTCCACCGCTGAACAAAAAACTGTGCTTTTCCTTATGAATTAATTAATGAGTATATTTCGCGATATCTCCTACTATCGAAGCCTTACTATATATATATATTTTTTCCTACGTATATTTCACACTTTCGCAGGTTATGATGTCGGCGTATAACTTACGAAGCTAATCAAGCGTGGGAATTGCGCCTACTAACAAAATGTCAGTAGTATATAGCGTAATATGATTTTTCTGTGAATTCACTTCATGTCTTTCATTATACCATCATTCCTTAATATCAGGTTGCAGCATCACACATCCGGATTCTCAGTCGGTAGCACAGCTGATTCTCTTTTGGGTTCAAGGTTACAGAGTGAGTAAATACGTTACGACATGGTATCGAAGGCTACTTTTCTAGACCGAATTTCAGAACCAAGTTATATCAATACTTATATACTATTATTATTTGAACAGAACACAACGTGCAGTCATCCATCATATGGAGAAAACATTCCGATGTTTTCACTGATAGCCAAAAAAGAGCAGATATCCCAAAAGATAGTCCGTGAACAAGTGATAGCATTTAATCTACCAGAGTGTTAATAAAATACAAATTCAGTTAAAACTCTAGTATTTTCTGTTTGAGATGTCGTATTGGTCAGTTGAGTTGCAGAGAGCTCTGTATAACAAGACCACGTCATTATAACTCATCACGCACTGAAGAAAGAAGTTGGCAGAACTGAGGAAATATCTTAGTGACATTTATCTAGGAGGCTGTACCTTCAGAAGTAGCTTCTAGATCAAGATTATTTGATCAGTTGATATTATTCAAACAATACGTATAATCGAACAACACTGTTTGTAACCAGAAAGTCCTGGGTTCGAAACCCGGTGGGTGCGTACTGATGAAGAGTCCCAAACTAGGACGAAACAGCTGTCCAGTACTCCCAGGTTTTCCAGTGGTTCTCTAACTGATGTCAGCTCATGATGAAATCCTGCAACCAATCAAATCCCTACAAACCAACACTTGAAAAACACTGTTTACAGTTTGATCTTCTTCAGGCTTTGCTCTAATTTGCATAGCTATTTATATAATTTTTAACCAGTGATGTCAGAAATAAGTTTGTGAGTCAGAAATAATCAGGATTCAGTGCTGCAAATACGTCGTCAGTAATATTCATGATTATAATAGTATCAATAATAGTGATAACAAAAGTGAAAGGGATGGATACAGGTGGTGATGAGAATAATGAAGATAGTACGACAACATAAACACGTATCCGGTTCTCTGTGATCTTCAGTCATCTCTCTAACTGATGTGGGTTTGTAGCTGAGTCTACACTAAACATCTTGTAACACTGAAAGTTGAGTAGTACTATGTATGGATGAAGTACGAGAGAAGGGAACAACCAAATTAGATTTACCTAGGCCAAGGGAAACACAGCCAGAACAAACGTCTTTTCTGTACAAAGACTAGGACTGTACTCCAGAATTCTCACAACTTCAGCGAGTTCGAATTCCTTTCGAAAGGTTGGATGGAATGAGACAGATAACCTTGATTTTGTATAGGAGTGTATGCAGCAGAAGAAATGTGTATATTGTCCAAAAGATGTAGTTTTTTTTTCTATAGACACATCTCTTCAGTGAACCATCTTCTCTTCTGTTCAACTGAAAATCAAGGTGCAATCTATCATCATGCACTTCTTCACATGTGAAAGTGAGTGATGGATCTACATCGTTAAATTTTATGAGAATTTCGTTCTTTCTGATCAATAATAATAAATGTATCATCAATATAACGATAACAAAAGCTCATTTTATCTATTACATGTTTCAATGGATGGTTTTCAAGCTTAGTTCAGATTCCGGCTCGGGATTGAGGACGCTCTTTGAAAACATACTATTCGACGGATAACGGGACCTCCTATTACTATAGTGTCACTATGACCACTGTGCACAATTCAAGGTGCTAATTTCAATCTGATCCCGTTTTTAAGGGCTGTTTCAACAATGGGTTGTTAGCTCGTTAGGGTTATGGTCACGATTAGGGTTGGGATCAAGGTTAGGCTTACGATTAAGATTAGGTGTCGGTTTGGTGTTATTTATTTCTATTATCCGTATTTTCCCAGTTAAATAGTTGTCGATCCTTTTACTGCAACCCATACTAATTCAATCGAGGTCTTTTGGCGAAGACTGTAAAACAGGATGAGAAAGATAAATAGGTCAAAATAAGAACTCATCTTTACTCACCCTGGTGGATAAGTGACGTCAAAGAAAGGTCTCCTGTTTATTGTATTTTCATGTATGTGTCGTCGTTTTTATGCAAAAACCACAATATTTCCTGATTGGTTGGCTCAAGACGACCCGTGCGTTCGCATTCCATGGAGTGCTATAGTTTAACTTTGCCCAGATTTCAAGGGTGGTTGCAGTCAGTAAAATGAACCACCGAATAAAATAGTCTAGACGTAAGTTCAAGAGTGTCAAATAAAAATAATAAGAATGGTGTTGCATAGATAAGAAAAAGTACTATTAGTGAACAATTAACAGGTAATACAGAATCTAATGAAATGAAGTAAAAGGATTATGTAAATACAATTCCAAGTTTGAAAAGCATTACGTAAGACTGAGGCAATGGACATGATAAGAAAGGTCATGAAGTTGTAGAATGTCCGAAATAAACATTTGTCAATGAAACAAAGGGGAAAAGAAGAGAGAGAAAAATGGGATAGGAATTTAAATTGTTAATCACCAATATTTATGAAGGATTTGTTGACGTTATTGTAGACCATAATAAATAAAGTGTTTGGACACACTTCTTCAGTATACAGAGACCAGGTCTTCTGGTACTGACTGCTACCGCTTCACCTACAGATAGAAAACATAGTTGATCTCTTCTAGACAGATAACCAGGAATGCGTTAGATAACCCACAACACCTGGTCTTGTGTTATTGATTGTCCAGTGTCCACCAACTGAGCTAAGACTACACTATTTATGCAATTGGTTTCCTTTTCACTCAACCATAAAGGTATATGTTTATCTGTAGTGAGTGTTCTCTCAACCAACCTGTTATGTCATTATTTACCAATATCTGCGGAAATCTCACCTTTATAACTTGACCTGAGGTACAAAGTTTTCCTATTTACAGCATCCATCGTTTTCCTATATCTAAGCAGAAAGATAAACGTTTTCAGAAAGATCTCCAAACATCCATTTTCTTTTAGTGTAAGCTTCAGTTTTTTTTTCCTTCACGTTCCCCAGTGGAACATAGGGCTTCAAGCTAGTGGCTTGGAGTTTCTGTAGCAGTGTTTATTTTGCAGGATGGGGTGGCTAGCCTCATGCCCAACCTTTCCTCTTCACCAGCATTATTTCTGGCATAGCGAGGTAAAGGAGTGAGTCGGCCGGGGATCGAACCCCGGACCAGTTTACACACCATTAATTTAATGCACTAGTCTGAACATACATCTTTTATTCTATAACCCCACCACTCAACTAATATGCGTTAGCATAGGACTCAGAGGTGGATTTTTTCTTACGCTAAAACTGAAAATGATACACTCAGAAAAACATTTAATGAATCTAACTGCTATTGTCGGCAAGTAGATGACACTTTCATCCTCTGTGATAGAAATCCTAATAAAAAAGGAGCTTTTAAATTCTGTCAATTATATTCACCCAGCTATTCAGTAGTACATACTTCCTGGATGTTCTCCTCACCAAGATGATAGATGGATATTTGAAAAGAAACCCACTCAGAAAGAAGACTTGAACAGGATTAGTATATCCATTTTTCTCAGTTTCGCACTGTTTCAATACAAAAACAACTTCGTTTGCATTATTCTTATTTACTTTGCGTGATCAAAAATGGTATGAGGGACGACCTTTGATAATTTAACTTGAGAAACATATGCATCATTCCAAGTAACAATTTACGTCGAAATGCTTAGTATGTTAAGTTCATCTTCGGTATGATATGAGACACACAACGTAGTCACTTCTCATAATTAGGGTCTATTATTGGTCCAGAGACGCCTACTTATTATCATGCTACAAGGTCAAACGAAATATATGTATAAATATGACGTTAATAAAGATGTTATTGATAATAGGACCAGAAATTTACTGCACAGTTAATGGAACTAAGCCTAAGAAATATTCTCCTCTCATCGTGTTTCGCCATTTGTCTCGCCTATGTAATCCACCAACACTTCTCACAGACATCGGATCCACGTGTATATCATGTGACACCACCATCATTGGAATTGGATGACCGTCTAATTTCAAATGACAAGTACAGTAAAGTCGACAAGATTCATTTACAATCGTACACCGGGCCTGAAAGCTTCGCTCTGCACAATGGTAAGCAATTTCAATGCTTCGAATTTGTATATATTTTATAGGCTCTCTATACACCACTGTAATGGAAGGTAAAATATTGAAAATAAGCGATGCTGGGATTACTGTTCATGTAACACTCGCCTCACCAGATTGCAGTAATGTCCACTCTATTCACTACTAATTCAATCATTCAGCTGATTCTCATCAGTGCAGTAGACCATTAGGTTTGAGAATGTTGAAGAATTCCAGACATCTTCTTGTGACTGATGCATACTTGGGTGTATATTCTGTATCCCTGGAAGACGGTAAGTTAGTGTTGTCTATGAGTTGGATTCATTTTTACTCTCACATGTAGGTGGTGTTCAGAAGTTGTTTCCTTTGAAGGATGATTTCAAAGTTACATTTTTCGATGATTCATTTCTCCTCCCGAATGGTAGTGTTTTTATCACTGAAGCTAGTACAAATTATACTATACATGAATTGTGGTCAGCACTTTTGGAGGGATTGCCTAGTGGAAGGTGAGATTGTGTTTGTGTATTTATTGAATGCATAATGTCGTATTTTTCTGTTTTAAATGTTTACTCAGTTATTCATAGGTAAATTTCGTTCATACAAATAAATAGCATACAAATGAGTAGGATAGGACGCATACTCAAGATAGTATTGAAGGTTAATAAACGTAAGAGGCATCATCATCATTTCGGGCCTTCCACATAACTAACTAAATCCGTCTTAATCCATATGTTAATGGGTCTCCGTTATTGTACAGAGTTATACACTTTTTCGACCTAAAAACGCTAAATCCATCGCTTTTGTTCTGTCATTAACTTAACTGCTCAAAATACCACCTACATGAAAGATTTTGGCAATATTATAGATATATATTTAACAATTTGCTTTGCTCTAAGCGAAGAAAATAGGACTTCCATTGAACCAATGTATTCATTTCAAATGAGACTGTTTACTGCATTCGCTAACCTTATTTTCCGTTTCACGATACATAATTCCCGTCAGTTTGTACTCGATACAAAGTCACGATTCAGGACAATGCACTGAACTCATTTATGTCAAAAGGTGGAACACTGATTTGTATATCTCAGTGAATTTATCATAGTGAAAGTCATCTTGGCTAACAGTGTAAGCGAAGAGTATTCTCTGTGTTCATAGAATTATTCTCAGTGTTTTAGTGACTTTCAACATCCACTTTATATGAGAAGCTATTTTAAATTGAGTGAAATTCACAAGTAGCTCTTCCTACTTTTAGAAATATCATACTCATCAAAGGTTAGATAGCTACAAATTGAATTCAGATAATTGAAACGGTGAAAAATACCACTTGTAACTACACATCGATTGATAAACATGTACCATTTTAACTAATTAAAAATAGCGATTAAATTTTTTAGAGAGAATGGTCATTGAACAAAGAATATTCTTTTCGATAACCTGCTCTTCATCATCAGGTTCCACGGTTATTTATTCATAATAGTGAGTGAATTAGTACTATTAACAACATTAATGTTGCTTAAATAGCATCGAAAATAGCTATCCAGAAAAGTTCATCGAGAAAGACATGACCAAGAAAGCAGAAAAGGACTATTCTCCATCTGTAAATAAGAAGCCTTTATATGTACGAATCCAATTCAAGGGTGACTCACTGAGTAAATTAATTACTAACAAGTCAAGAAAATCTTTTCAAAGGACTTTGAGTGCTGGTAAACTATATTTTCTACACTACCGATAGTTATTTTTCAAATGAAAGATGAAGTACCTAGACTGGTTACCTCTAATTGCATCCACCAATTCAACTGTCCTTGTGGAGCGAGTTATTTCGGCCGTTGCTCGAGGAGCTTCATTTTTTGGGCCCAAGAACATCTACCAGTGTGGCTAAGTAAAGTTGTCGGAAACAGTTCCATATCAGCAGTTCGACATTAGACCACCTGGTCCAAACCGGCCACAAAGCCAGTCAGCATTGAAGAATCCTTCTCTATCAACTATTGGGAACCAAGTAAATTGTCAAAAATATCCAGGTACAGCATACTCTAAACAGCAGAGGCTATCGTGATTCGTCTTAAACAACCGGTGCTCTGTGTGCAAAAGAAGCAAGTCCAGCTACTACTACTGCCCTGACCTTCAGTGGAGACTATAAATTCATGAATTTGTATTATTATCTTTCCTAATTTGCCTGTCTGATATTCAATGTATTGTTATGTTGATGCTATCGAACTGTAATCTATTGATATTATTATTGATTCGATGTTATTTAAACATTATTGTTGTTTATAACACTAATTTAATTCATTATTATGTATATGTAACTGTAGAACCTGATGATAAAGTTACCGAAAAGAATAATCTTTGTTTAGTAATCATTCTTTTTAAACAGGTAGTAGTTGCTTTTCATAAATTGGACTTTCTTGAACAAATAAGAGGGAAGGAAGGTAATCACTTTAAAACTGAAAGTAGGAATCTCCACTAACTGCGTTACGTAACTTAAATTAACAGAGTTCTTTCACTCAAGAGCACACCATGAGTGTGCAGATATTCAGCGCTAAGGTTTTGTTCAATCCTCATAGATTTCAATTCTTAAAGAAACAGACTCATCCTCATTATTTCAAAGATCTGAAGAAACTCTATATTTTGAAATTTTGTGTTAGTATGAAAATGGCATGTACAGTACTACTCATTCAGTGCAGCTAAATTGAAGAATTCACACCTAGGAAGTTACATCGGTTGATCTCACCTTAGGTGGAAAGACTATTTTCAGAATAGTAAGGCTTCATGAAAGTTGTTTTATCAAAAAAGGTAGCGCCGTTTCAGTCGGTTAGTATTTTTAACCTTCAGCAATTATGGATTATTCTACGACTTAATGTGAATCAGACCAACTTGTTTGTCAATCCATATTTCACCTCCCTATGCCACTTTAAAATAACTGCTAACTTTCAATGGTAAGTGGTGGCAGATGCATTTGATCTCAATGGATTTGAGTGTTAGACCACAAATTTGTAACTCATAAATGACTATCAAGGACCGAACAATGGATATAACCTCATAACATTGGAATTTTTAAACAAGATAATGTGAAATGCACTTTCATCTTCAAATTCACCTATTGTGCATACAAATTGAACAAAACTAAAATACACAAATAATTCTTTTGTCAAAAACATCAGGTTAATTATGGCCGACACAAATACGGGTAAACACAGTGTAATACTCGACAATTTACGTTTTCCCAATGGAATCGAGCTTCATAATGACGGTAAATCTATCCTGGTTGCTGAATCAATGAAGTTACGCATAATACGGGTACCACTAGATGGTGGTGAAGTTACCGTGTTCAGAGATGGTTTACCAGGTTCACCGGATAACATAAGAGCCAGTCCACGTGGGGGTTACTGGGTTCCAGTTCAAGGTTTGCCTGATTCACCAGTGATGGCATTTATCTTTAAGCAGCTACCCGCTTGGCCTAATGTTCGTTATCTTTTCTCCAAGGTGGGTTCTCTTTAATCCAATTTCTTTGACTTAAATCTGTTTAAAGTTAGTAATTTTACCTCCTTAATAAAATATTGTTTAGGAAAATGGAAATAAGCCCAAGTGAATAGTTAACATTTTATTGTAGTGTGTGTGCTACTGATAAGATTTACCAGTAGTATATAATGAGACGTTCATCGGCATAGAAATTTGAAAAAACATGGAGATAGATTTGAGGTCAAACGGAGCGAGTGATTCACTGTTGCGACAAAATGTGGAGGGCACGGAAAGAAGACAACGAAACACAGAAGATCTGTGCAAATGGTGATTTGAAGATAAGATGTATTTAATTTGGCTATATAGAGATATCGATTTCCTTATATACAAACCATTATTAAGTATCTTGTTTTCTGCCATTACATTCTGACTGAGTAAAAGGATTCATGCTTAACCCATCAACGTAAGTTTCTCCCCATTTAACTAATACATCTACAAAATGCATAAACAGGCTGTCACACGAACTGCGGTATCACAGACTAGTCTGCAGCAAGCATCCAGTGTTTCTTAAATGTTATGAAAGCCAATATATTTCAACAAATATCCAATACAACTATCGAAGATAATTTCAAACAGCTTTTTGAGCTAACTGAGTATCTAAACACTTGAAATATTCATGTGCTTCTAACCATGCAATGTAAAACACTTCGGAAGTATGATTTTATTCATTTCAAGCTGCTTCTAATCATTTGTATTCCACTCATTGTTAACATTTTGTAAACAAAGCTGTACATCATTCATTTTAAAATCTGAACAGCTTAATTGTTATAATTATTTGTGATATTAGTATTTGGCAACTGCTTGGCTACTGTGGGGTGCCACCGACAATTATACATCTCATCCAACAGCTGTACGACAATGCTACATGCCAAGTTATCCACAACGGGAATCTTACGGAATTCTTAGAAGTGAGGACAGGAGTAAGACAAGGCTGCCTACTATCGCCAATGATTTTCCTGATTGCAGAAGACTGGATAATGCGAAAAACAGTGGGCAATGAGGAAACAGGCATAAAATGGACTCACACAAAAAATTTGGAGGATCTTGACTTCGCCGATGATATATGTTTGATTTCACACAAACTGGAAGATATGCAAGTAAAAGCAACAAATTGCCAGAAGAAGCATCCGGAGAAGAAATTAATTCAGGTGAACATAGATAAAACAGAGGTGATAAAAATTCCTGGCCAACACCACCAACGGCAACAACAACAACTGACAACAATCAGCATAAATGGGAGGAACCTGAAAGAAACAACCTCTTTCACTCACCTGGGAAGCATCGTTCCATCTACACGCGGAACTGACGAGGATATCCAAGCAAGGATAGGAAAAGCAAGACAAGCTTTCACTACTCTCAACTCTGTGTGGAGGTCAACACACAGCACTCAGCATCTAAAATGAGATCCGGATTTTCAACTCCAATGTGAAGTCAGTGCTACTATACGGATCAGAGACTTGGCCAGCACGTCATGAAGAGTATCTCAAACAAACTACAGACCTTCATTAACAGTTGTCTTCGCTCAATACTCAAGATCAGATGGCTGGCCAGAAAAGATCAGCAACAGGGATCTATGAAAGCAAACCAACCAGGAACCGATTGTGAAACAAATAGGCAGGAAGAAATGAAGATGGATTGGCTAGCCATACTCTAAGGAAACTATCTAGTGACATCACTAGACAAGCCACTGCTCGAGTAGAACCCGAAAGGGAAGCGGTGAGTTGGTCGTCAGTGCAAGGGTGACTTGGAGGAGGTCATGTGAAGAGGAGATGGAAACGTGTGGGCAGACATGGAACCAGGTGAAGACTCTAGCAGAGAACAGAACGCAATGGATACGCACGGCTGAAGCCCTATGTTCCTGTAGGAATTAAAGGATACAATAATAAATAATAATAATCTCTCGTTATCATTGAACAGTCAAGAACTTGATAAAATTATCAAATAATAGAGAAGATGTTTAGCTCAGGCTGATGATGATAACTGTTAACGTTAGGTGAATGCCTCATCACCAGTATTTATGGCATTTTAATCATTAATTCCACTGAGAAATGTTTAAATCTCAACGTTTCCATATGGTGTTTTTTGCACACATCTAAAATAAAATGGAATCTGATATCTGAGCTAATGAAATTAGCTCTGAAAGTCTCACACAACCTTTTGATCAAACGACAATGATGAAATATCAAGACGAAGATAATCAATTTTCATATAACAGTCATTGCGATGGTCAGAACTCAAGCATTTCGGTCTGAATACTGGAACCACTCAATGTGTTCTTCTGTATAGCTCACAAAACTCCCAGGAGTTAGGCACAATTCAAGCATTATCAAATAGGCAATTTGAGTGATAGAAGTTGTCGTACTACTCGACAATAATAACATCTAAAATATAAAGCTATCTCAACACTCCTATTTGATAGCTACACAATCCAAACGTTCCTTAGGTGCAATTACCTTCTGCGCATCAAAATTAATTGACTAAATACAATTATAAATTTCCTGAGAATCAGTAGCAATAATGCCAACAAAATGAGATCAAAACACTGTCTGCAAGAATCTGGCAGACAGTCCAAGGTCAAACAATCACTCCGCGAAGTAACCCCATGTTGAAGATGTTGTCTAGAAGGACGACGAAAGCTTCGCAATTGAATTAACCACCAGCTCAAAGAACACAACTAAGTCAAAACCTCATGTTTATTGATAAGAATTTAGTAGCTACCTAATTATCCTGTCAGCAACTGGCAAACACTTGTCTGTGATCATCAGGGCAATGGTTTTGCATTCAGGCGATGATAATGTCAATGCATGATTTAATGCACTATGGGCAGTATTCTATTGTCACACAACTGGCAGCTTGCTTACGTAATACAACTTTCTGGGAAGAGCAATCATACGATTAGTTATGTTAGTATTTCAAGTAATAATAGTCGAACTCAGCTCCGTGGAGCACTCATCTGACCACTTGCATCATATTATTATGAATATTTCAAGGTAACAACACGAATAATCGAAATCTCTCAGCTGAATTTCATTCAATTTAGCTTTAACATTGGGATTATAATCTCCATGTAGTGCCTTAAGTGGATTATAATTTCGATATATTTGTCTGAAGCAACATATTTGCAATCTTCGCTATTAATCAGGTAATGACTATATATGTCCAAACCAAGTTCACTTTTAACAGTTTGAAAAAAAATTGGGCATTGGGTATACGATATTCATTATAATAAAGGTTTTTGTATTTCCCGATGAATGAAAAACAAAACGACATTGTTATTTTACTGACGTTTCACTATATAATACTTCTTTTAGCTTTATCAAAGTATTGTCAAACCAGAATTGACAAATTCTCAGCTTATATAGATAGCAACTTAATCATCGTTCATCAGCATGCGGTCATTTTTGCATTGTCAAATTGGCTAGTTTGTAAAGATAACAAAACCAGGTGTAGATTGTTGGATTTTATAAGTGTGTAAAATCATAAAAGCAATGTGTGTTTACATAATGAAATAGCTTATCATGTTTGTGTTGGTTTTGTCATTTCATGAAGGAGGGAGGTGTTGTAACCGGGTTAAATTCTGTTTTAGTCCATCATCCCTTTTCAGACAATTCGGATTCCACTTGATATGAAGTGCTTCTGATATTAGACGTTCTTCTTGATTTTTGAAATTTCTCTGAGTTATTTCAGTATTATCAGAATCAATTTTGTGGCCTGATTCTATAGCGTGTAGACCTATTGTTGATGATTTTTCAATGATTTTATTTTGTGGACACAATTAGATAGAGAATCTTTAGGGGCTTGGTCTTTTATATGGACGTTTTGAAGAAAACTCTGATGTCGTGCTTATTGAGTTCTCTTCTAATGTAGTCTGATGTCTCTGATCTATATGGAATGACAACTGTTGAGGTCCTATGTTTTCACAATACGTTTCTGACCATATTTAATAGCAGTGTTGATTTTGTTGGTGAAGTTCTTTGGGTAGTTGTTTTGCTTGACAGTCTCGGTAATGTTTGGTATTTCTTCTTCTTTTTCTTTCTCATCCGTTTACATCAAAGAGTGTGCTCATCTAAGAAGACTTGAAGCAACTGATACCTTTGCGCTGATGATCCGAAGTGTAAATATTTATTGGAGTGGGTTTTCTTCCTTATTATAGATATACTAAAATGTCCATTTTCCCTCCTCTTAACTAAGCAGTCTAGAAATGGCATTTGTGTGCATTCTTATGAAGGATGGTTGTCAGTAATAACTTGATTTCAAAGTTTATTATAATTTGATATTCAGGCAGCTTTAGGAATTAACTTTATGGAAACTTCACTCATATAAACCACACAGCAAAAGATAAAGTGAAGTAAGTAAGGTATCTCTATTATATGTACGAACACTTGCAAGAAAATTTCATGGTTAAATCTCATTTTTTTGCTTAGGATTATTGATAACGAATTGTTAATATCAACTTTTTTTGATATCAGTTAAAGAACCATTGAAAATCAAGGAGTACTGGAAAGTTTCAGCCTATAGTTTGGGACTCGCCGGAAGTATTCACCCACAGGGGTTCAAACACAGCACCTTTCGGTTGCAATGGAAGCTCTCAGACTGTTCAGCCACTGAGACTCAACTGTTTAATCACATTTACTTAGTATAATGAGTTATGTACACATTGCTGCATAATGGCACCGAATAATGATAAACTTGCCTTCTCTCTTCTTCCTTACAGCTCATGACCCTCTTTCCAACTTTTGCTACTAATGGGTGTGGACCGTCAATATTACTTCGTCTAGATGATGATGGAAATATAGCAGAGATATGGAAAGATCTTCATAATGAACTGCCTAGTGTCAGTGAGATACTAGAATACAATGACACACTTTACACGGGAAACTTCTACTTACCCTATATTGGTCGCTTGAAAAGACTGTCAAATTAGTGGCCAATATTGTTTTCCTAAAATAATTGGTGTTTTTGAAAGAAGAGTATCACTT